GTCCCTCGCTCCCCTCCTGCTGGCCCTCTGGTTCCCATTCCCATCCCGCTTACTCAGCGGGCTCTCTCCAGGCTTTGCCCCAGAGCCCTAGGCACAAGCGCCACCGCCTCGCCGCCTCCCTTCCCACGCGTCCCCAAGTCCTGCTCTGGCCCGCGCCCCGTTGTCCACCCTGGAGACCGCCTCGAGTGCGCGCGGAGCCGAGTGTTGCGAGTCCCCAGGGGAAGGAGCCCGTCGGCAGGCGGACTTGCCAGCTGAGACACTGCGCCGCTATCCGCCGTCCGGCAGCGAGGGAACCGCAGCGTGGCCAAACGCGCGCCGCGCCCCTCCGGAGCCCGAGCCCGGCCGCCGCGGGCCGCGGGAACTTTGCGTCCTTCCCTCCTCTTACCGCTGCCGCCAAGCCTCGCGCCGTCCCTGCGCCTCCCGGCCCGGGATTGCGAGCTCTGTGCTCGTGAAGAACGTACCTGGCCAGGGGGCCGAAGATCTTGGAGAAGATCGCACCGAGCACGTGCTTCAACGAGTGGCCCAGGGCAGCCAGGCCCCGAGTGAGCAGGGCCCGGCAGAGGTAGCCCAGGTCCCAGCGTCGCCTAAGGTCGTGCATCCGCCTGCGGCGGCCTCGGGGCAGCAATGCGAAGAGCGGGGCGCGCACGGCTCCCGCCAGGGAGGAAGATGCCTTTCGGGGCTCGTCCAGGAGCGGCCGGGAGTTGAATTCGTGAGACACACCCCTAGGAGGGCCCGCGCGGCCTGAGACGGCGGCCGAGCCGAGCCGGCTCGCTGCCAATTGGGCCTCCACTCTGGAATGCCGGCGGGGACAGGTGGTGCGGGCGGGCGCTCCTCGCTCCGGTTGCAGCGGCGGCCCGAGCGCCGGGGCTGCACACACAGGCAGTGCCATTACCCCCTTCAGGCAACTCAGGGTACTAAGGATCAGAAGCGAGCCTGAATTTATATAATAATGCCTCACGCCCAAGAGCTGGAGCCACTGCACAGGCGAGGCCTCGGCGTTTCCTCCCAGTCTTGGGGAACGGAGGTCACTCCAACGAGTGCATCACTCCACTTGGGCTTGTCATTTCAGCCTCCCCTAAATAGCAAGGCGCAATCTGGACAGTTCCCCGCTGTCTCTGCTCTTTCCATTCTCCAGCGGAAGCAGGGGGATTTTCTGAAAGGTAAGTCAGCACGAAAGAGACAGCATGACCAACAATTGGTACAGAATGCCAATCTGAGCTTTTTCAAAGCACAGACTCGCTCTCCCTCCTCTTCTTTCTGAATCCTGCGCAGCAAACCCCGTGCCAGCAGGAGGGCTTCACTTGCAGGAGGTTTAGTGAATGAATGGAGACACTAAGTGCTGCATCAGAATGGGACTATCTGCTGCAGGTTGAGGTGGCAAGTGAGGAAAACGAGGCCCAGAGAGGGGAAGGGAGGCGTCCAAGGTCACACAGCAGAGCCCCAGGGTTTGAACCCTAGAAACCAGGTCCCATCCAGCCATTTCCTGACACTTAACACCTCTTCTTCTAATAAAGAGATGCAGATTATCCTTATACCCTGGGGTCCCAAAGGCTCTTTTCTGCTGCTGGACCAGGGATGTAGGGATTAACAAGGAAAGAAGACCTGTCCCTTTAGGACAGGACCCCTAGGAACCCAAAACTCAGGCTGTTCCCATCTGATGAATCAGGCAGAGCTTTCCGGCGTCAGGGCACTGGTTTTCACTGAGAGAGCATGCACTCCCACCAATCCCACTGCTGCAGAAGTAACGGGGTGGCAGTGGTGTTTCAGAGCAGTGCAGTTGGTGCGGGCTGTAAGCAGCGTCCTGGGGTGGGGGCATGTCCTTCCAGAGACAGACTCTGCCAGTGTCTCTGGGAGCATTTGGTCCCTCGCTGAGCTCTGCTTCTCCACCCCTTCCCTCTTGTGTTCTGTGTGATGAAGCAGCAAGTTCTGGTCCAGGGGTTCCAAGAAATCCACCACTTCCTTGCTGGGTGGCTCTTGGAAAATAACTAGCCCCTCCTGAGCCTCGTTTTCTACTATAAAATGTGACGAATGATGTCCTTTGCCCTGATCATCAGAGTGCCTATGAGGATGAAATGTAGAAACCTTTGGGCAATTGCAGATGGGCTGCTATGTTAACCTGCTGTGCATCAAGCTCTGATGCACCTATGAACTGACCCACAGGTGGCTTCCCAGCTGTGCCCCTGTCCTTGCTTCTCCTCACCCTTCCCCAGCCCTGGGTGGACTCCCTGTGCCCCCAACACCCCTGGGGACAGCAAGGGACCCTCTGTCCAGCTGCAAGCAGAAGTGAAGGTGGACTTGGGAATCTTGCATTTCAGGCACTCTAGGTATTGCCTGTCTTAGGCTCCAGGGGGACACATTGACAAAGGAACTTGGGCTAAGGAGCCAGATGCAGCAACTTACAAGGCAGAGCCCGTGGCTTCCCAGAGAGCTCCATTGGTGTCCCCCTGCTTGTGGGACACAGCCTGCTCCCTGAGGGCAGGTGAGAGGGTGAACTAGGGGAGGAGGAAGCCATAGGGTGGCCCAGGAGTCCAACCAGGCTGCTGCCCCTGCCTTTTCCTTGGCCACCAGCACAGTCGGCCTCCTTAGCCAGCCCACTGGGTAGCTTCCATTATACCACCATTCTGATCACTTTCAGTGGGTCCGTAGGAGAATACTTCTAGAACGGATGAGTCAAACATTCAAGCTCCCAGCAACTAACTCTGGAGTTTCTACTCTGAAAGGGATGAGTGGGATTGGAAGTAGGACAGGTACCGTGTTGGGGGGAGGAAGTGGTACAAAATATGGAAAAAAAAATCAGCATTTACTCATTTAAGGTGGTGAAAAGGAACACACTTGCATGCACATGCACATACACAGAGTCGTTTTCAGAGAAGAGGCAGTGGGGCTGGTAGCTTTAGAGTAAAAGGGGACAGGGCTGTCAGGTCCAGTGTCTGGGATTTAATATGCCACATACACTCTAGTGTGGATATATGCAACAACTCACTGGAGGACATTTGCATTTAAAAGCCCTTCTGTAACCCTCATCATGCTGTCAGGAACAAAGAAATGACTCTCATGATAGACTTCATTTATCAGGACTCCTGGAAGTAGCCAAACACTATCTTTAGGGGCAGTGGGGCTCCCAAAAGTCTCCAAAGACCCTTCCTGGAGTGAAGAGGCTCCCTTCAGAGAAGCAGGGAATTCTTCCTATGTGTGCCCCAAACCTTGTTCTCCTGCAGCAAGGCCTAGGCTTTGGCTGGCTGTTCCAAAGGCCTCCTGCAGCCCTGGGCTGGGCCCAGCTCCCAGGTACTGGTTGCTCTCAGGAATGGATCACCAAATGCCCTGATGCTGCAGAATTTGGCCCTATTGTGGGATAATGAGGGTGTGGTACAAAGAAGGAAAAGAACTGGCTGAATTGTCAGATCTTGGGTTTTCCGGTTGCTTATTTCTTAGACCAGCCTGAGCTTCCTGTGTGTATATTTAGGATTCAATGCTGAGACGGCACAGAGGATTCTGTAGTTTGAATAGGGCTTCTGACCGTCTCCACAGGGTGGTATTATTTTCATTTTTCCAGACCCATCCTTTCTTGGTTTCCACAAAAGGTTGATGGTTCTGGGAGCAGAAAGGTCAGCCTGGCTTGCACAGTAAGCAGGGCCCTTCCATATACGCATCTGGCTGCTTTCGTCTGAGATGACAGGGGGAGGCAGTTGAAAGAGCACTGGTCTATGGGCCAGAGACCCAGGTTCTTGTCTTGACTCTGTCACTAAGGAGACACTATCCTGTGAGGAAGCCAGTTTCTCACTCTCAGGCTCAGCCTCCCTGTTTGTGAAATGGCAAGGTCAATGCAGTGACCCAAAGCGTGCTTTTCCTGATCTAACATTCTAAGCCAGGTGCTTTCTTGTCTTCCTTTAAGGGCCAAAGTGCTGCCAAACACTCTGGGCTTCATCCTAGGGAGAAAGTCTTAGGACTAGTCCTTGATACTTTATGTGGCATTCACACCATTTGATCCCACTGGACAATCAGCAGTTGGACTTTTCCTGGGAGCTCTGGTAGCATAGTGGCTAAGACACTTGCCTGCTAACCAGACGGCTGGCGGTTCAAACCCACCAGCCACTCCTCAGAAGAATAAAGGTGACCTACTGGTGGTATAG